GGTGACGTCATTAACCAGTGTTACAGCATCATACAGCCAGGTGACGTCATTAACCAGTGTTACAGCACCAGACAGCCAGGTGACGTCATTAACCAGTGTTACAGCAGCAGACAGCCAGGTGACGTCACTAACCAGTGTTACAGCACCAGACAACCAGGTGACGTCACTAACCAGTGTTACAGCACCAGACAGCCAGGTGACGTCATTAACCAGTATTACAGCACCATACAGCCAGGTGACGTCACAAACAGCACCAGACAGCCAGGTGACGTCACTAACCAGTGTTACAGCAGCAGACAGCCAGGTGACGTCACTAACCAGTGTTACAGCACCAGACACCCAGGTGACGTCACTAACCAGTGTTACAGCACCAGACAGCCAGGTGACGTCACTAACCAGTGTTACAGCACCAGACAGCCAGGTGACGTCACTAACCAGTGTTACAGCTCCAGACAGCCAGGTGACATCACTAACCGGTGTTACAGCACTATACAGCCAGGTGACGTCATCACTCGCCAATGCCAGACCCGCCATGCATGTAAGTATGAGTAATTAACAGTTCATGAGTAGTTCAACCACGCACTAGGAAGATGTACGAGTCCCCCCCCCCCCCCCCGCCCCCCCCCGCCTCAACGCACCTCGAACAATTGCCCTGTTAAACCACCTCCCCCTCCCCCTCCCCCCCCCAGGGGCAAAGCTAGACAAACGACGTTGACGTAAACAATCAAGTAACGTCAACAACGTGGTTTCAACGTCGAGCAAACGTTGATCAAACGACACGCGGTGAGTCAAACTTTTTTTTTTTGGTCGCTCGCTGTTGAAAAGTTGATTAAAACGCTCATACGACGTTGATTAAACGTTCATATGACGTTGATTAAACGTTCATATGACGTTAATTAAACGTTCATATGACGTTAATTAAACGTTCATGCGACGTAGATTAAACGTTCATATGACGTTGATTAAATGTTCATACAACGTTCATACGACGTTAAATTTTTACCTTCCATTACATGTTGATTGAGAATGTTTGGTCCACTGGGAATGTTCCGTCTGTTTGTTCCAGCACAAAAACTAACAATTTCCCAGCTCCAAGGCTAACAATTATCCGTTGGTGATTAAGCCTCGCTAACAAGGCAACGTTTGTCATCATTCTGTTCTCGGGCACTTCATCTCCGCATGCCCAGTGGGCACCGGGCAAGAGCAGAGTCAATTTCAACACCGATTCAGCGTTCAATTAAACGTCATCGACGTGGATTGAACGTTGAAGTAATATTGATGATGTTGATTCAGCATCGAACCAACGTCACTCTTGGATGTTTGTGTGCACTCCAGGGCGCCATCAACGTGTCTTGCTTCTGGGACAAAGTTATGCAGTTATGTACAGACTTTTTTGATGCCCGAAATTCGTTTTCTATTGTGTGTGTGTGTGTGTGTGTGTGTGTGTGTGTGTGTACTCTCCTAGTTGTGCTTGCGGGGGCTGAGCTTTGGCTCTTTGGTCCCGCCTCTCAACCGTACGTACGTGTGTGTATGTGAGTGTTATACGTTTTACATTCTAGTCAAAGGTCACACGAGACATTCGTACAAGATGTATAGATTTGCATACAATTCTGTGTATGAACGCACTCCCCTAATCTGTATACGTTAAACTTCCCATCTCCATCACGTTTCGTACGCTTTCAAATCTCGTATTTAAATATAGGGGAATTTCGTGCGAGGGAACTCAAACGATATATTAAATCGTTTACTTATGGAAAGTGAGAGAGGTGGACTCTTGAGGTCGCGTGGTACAGCTACCACACAAGAGGTGCCCCAGGTAACAGAACCTCTTGTGCTACAAAGATATAGACATCTTTGAATTTGTAGAAACAATTGGTAATTTCAGATATCAAAAATATTTATATTTTATTTATATGTAAGAGAGATAAAGAGATAAAGAGATAAAGAGAGAGAGAGAGAGAGAGAGAGAGAGAGAGAGAGAGAGAGAGAGAGAGAGAGAGAGAGAGAGAGAGAGAGAGAAATAGGAGGGGAAGGGTTTTGTGTTTCGTGTCGTTGGCCTCTACAGCCAAATGCCAATACATAAAATCCTAATTGTTATATCATCTACATAAAAGGTCAATTAACTCTTAAGCACAAAAGTAGAATCCTCTCCCTTTTTTTACTAATTTACATATATTCATTATTGTTTCACTACTCTTCGTTGTTTTCCTTTTGATAATGTGAATGATATAAACCGGTGTGTGGTGTCTTGACCAATGAGGCTCGTCGTTACAAAACACTTAGTCATTCATGATTTAACCCAATATTACGACAACAACAAATGCGGCGTTGCCACTGTGCACTTTCCAATTGGACTCTATTGGCCTCTATTATATCTATATTTGGAACTCTGTATGGAGTCTGCCTCCACCACCTCCCTGTCTATTGGATTGCATTTGTTAACTACTTTTGACACTGGAAAAAGCTTTCTAATCACTCTAGGGGTCATTTAGGTCTACACCCTCGCTTGTATACTTAAATTTTCAACCATTTTACACCTGCGTCTCCTCGCTCGAGTGCCACCTGTGGAAAAAAAAAACAGCTGTGGACGTTTACACTACCAAGGGTGACACTACACACGTGGCTCTGGTGTCAGAAATGATGACGACATATGATTTCGAACACCACTCCTTCCCTAGCCCGTTCTCGCGAGCGTTCCGAACGTTAAGAAACTCGTACTTAAATGCCCTTCTCCTGACCAACCAGAAGACCCACAAACAGAAAACGGGACAGTATGGGAATTTGGCGAGTCGTTTTCTAGTATAAGTTTTTGGCCTTAGGTAAAATTTGCGTCAAAATGCGATCAAAACAGTCTGAAACCGATCGTTTAAATTGACGACCTTGCTGAACCCTGCGGTACCTTTAAACAGTTTGTCAGTACATGTAAAAGTATAATGTGTTTGATTTACATAATACAGTTTTGAATTCAGCAGTACATCTGTACTCCTTAATCAAAAGATGTCATTTTCTTTGCATTGTTGTTTGTTGTTGTATCTATATGTCTGGTAAACTATTACATGCGTAATCACTCACCTCCTCGAAGGTGCCCGTGATATCATAAACTCCAGCACGAGGATAGGAGAACACAGCACGAGGATAGAAGAACACAGCACGAGGATAGGAGAACACAGCACGAGGATAGGAGAACACAGCACGAGGATAGGAGAACACAGCACGAGGTATAGGAGCAACGTTTTCTATGTTGTGGCTTCCTACCAGAGAGGTCCCTCCAGCCGGCCGCGATCCACTGACTTCCTCCCAATCCAACCCGTCCTCTTAAAAATAACGTCACTTTTGGCTCGCCAATCAGCGTCTGGTGTTTCCTCGTATGTTGCCAGCACCTCTGGCCTCCAGCTCGTTCTCAGCCACAATGGCCATTTGCTCGTTACGCCAACCCGCTGTTCAGGAATGAAAGGCGCTTTACACACGACTCACAACTGATGGCGTTCGAGCATTTCTCGAACAGTGCATCGCTGACGTCCTCTGTTCGAATCCAGCCCGTCCTCATACAACCCGTCTTTGGACCAAATCCCAGCCCGTCCTCCAAACAAAGACCCAAAAGTGATTCCATGCACCGGCCAAACCCCAGCTGTTTATGAATGAAAAACGGTTTACACACGACTCACAACTGATTTCGTTCGAACACTTCCAGAACAAGTGCTTCACTGACGAATTTTGTTCGAACCACAACGCTGTAAATGCTTCACCCACGTACTACAAATACAAATAATCGCCAACAGAACCTAAACACCTAACCTAACCTATATATATATATATATATATATATATATATATATATATATATATATATATATATATATATATATATATATATATATAGACATATGTCGTACCTAGTAGCCAGAACTCACTTTTCAGCCTACTATGCAAGGCCCGATTTGCCTAATAAGCCAAGTTTTCATGAATTAATGTTTTTTCGTCGACCTAACCTACCTAACCTAACCTAACCTAGCTTTTTTTGGCTACCTAACCTAACCTTACCTATATATATAGGTTAGGTTAGGTTAGGTAGGGTTGGTTAGGTTCGGTCATATATCTACGTTAATTTTAACTCCAATAAAAAAAAATTGACCTCATACATAGTGAAAAGGGTAGCTTTATCATTTCATAAGAAAAAAATTATAGTAAATATATTAATTCAGGAAAACTTGGCTTATTAGGCAAATCGGGCCTTGAATAGTAGGCTGAGAAGTGAGTTCTGGCTACTAGGTACGACATATATATATATATATATATATATATATATATATATATATATATATATATATATATATATATATATATATATATATATATATGACATTGTCATATATATATATATATATATATATATATATATATATATATATATATATATATATATATATATGTCGTACCTAATAGCCAGAACTCACTTCTCAGCCTACTATGCAAGGCCCAATTTGCCTAATAAGCCAAGTTTTCATGAATTAATTGTTTTTCGACTACCTAACCTACCTAACCTAACCTAACCTAACTTTTTCGGCTACCTAACCTAACCTAACCTATAAAGATAGGTTAGGTTAGGTTAGGTAGGGTTGGTTAGGTTCGGTCATATATCTACGTTAATTTTAACTCCAATAAAATAATATTGACCTCATACATAATGAAATGGGTAGCTTTATCATATCATAAGGAAAAAAATAGAGAAAATATATTAATTCAGGAAAACTTGGCTTATTAGGCAAATCGGGCCTTGCATAATAGGCCGAGAAGTGCGTTCTGGCTACTAGGTACGACATATATATATATATATATATATATACATACATATGCACAATATGCTAATATATTATAATATTAATTTATATTGGAGAAAATTCCCGTTTTGAATGAACAGCATGTAAAAATTTATAAATGCGTCTGTGGGGACTATCCTCGCTGCCTCAAAACACACGTCACAGAGTCATTTACCTCTGCAGATGACAGACGACAGCATGAGCAGCAGCAGCAGCAGCAGCAGCAGCAGAAGCAGTAGCAGCAGCAGCAGCAGCAGCAGCTGGAGACGGAGTGTGACGACACAGCTGCTGGCGGTGTTGCTGTGGGCGGCGTCACCGGCGTCCGGCGCACCAACGCCAGACTCTTCAGACAACGATAGCCCGAGGCGGGATAACGCTCTGGAGATGCTGGTCTTAACTCCCCGTGTCTCGCCCCATCATAGTATAGGTGAGTCCCTTCTCCCCAGGTGGGTCCCTTCTCCCCAGGTGGGTCCCTTCTCCCCAGGTGGGTCCCTTCTCCCCAGGTGGGTCCCTTCTCCCCAGGTGAGTCCCTTCTCCCCAGGTGGGTCCCTTCTCCCCAGGTGGGTCCCTTCTCCCCAGGTGAGTCCCTTCTCCCCAGGTGGGTCCCTTCTCCCCAGGTGGGTCCCTTCTCCCCAGGTGAGTCCCTTCTCCCCAGGTGGGTCCCTTCTCCCCAGGTGGGTCCCTTCTCCCCAGGTGAGTCCCTTCTCCCCAGGTGGGTCCCTTCTCCCCAGGTGGGTCCCTTCTCCCCAGGTGAGTCCCTTCTCCCCAGGTGGGTCCCTTCTCCCCAGGTGGGTCCCTTCTCCCCAGGTGGGTCCCTTCTCCCCAGGTGGGTCCCTTCTCCCCAGGTGGGTCCCTTCTCCCCAGGTGGGTCCCTTCTCCCCAGGTGGGTCCCTTCTCCCCAGGTGGGTCCCTTCTCCCCAGGTGGGTCCCTTCTCCCCAGGTGGGTCCCTTCTCCCCAGGTGGGTCCCTTCTCCCCAGGTGGGTCCCTTCTCCCCAGGTGGGTCCCTTCTCCCCAGGTGGGTCCCTTCTCCCCAGCATAGGTCAGTGATTCTCTAGCCTTAGCAAGTATTACCTACTTTAAATTCTCCATTTCTATGGTGTCCATATATATATATATATATATATATATATGTCGTACCTAGTAGCCAGAACGCACTTCTCAGCCTACTATGAAAGGCCTGATTTGCCTAATAAGCCAAGTTTTCCTGAACTATTATATTTTCTCTGATTTTTTTCTTATGAAATGATAAAGCTACCCATTTCATTATGTATGAGGTAATTTTTTTGTTATTAGAGTTAAAATTAACGTAGATATATGACTGAACCTAACCAACGCTACCTAACCTAACCTAACCTATCTCTATAGGTTAGGTTAGGTTAGGTAGCCGAAAAAGTTAGGTTAGGTTAGGTTAGGTAGGTTAGGTAGTCGAAAAAACATTAATTCATGAAAACTTGGCTTATTAGGCAAATCGGGCCTTGCATAGTAGGCTGAGAAGTGCATTCTGGCTACTAGGTACGACATATATATATATATATATATATATATATATATATATATATATGTCGTACCTAGTAGCCAGAACTCACTTCTCAGCCTACTATTCAAGGCCCGATTTGCCTAATAAGCCAAGTTTTCCTGAATTAATATATTTACTATAATTTTTTTCTTATGAAATGATAAAGCAACCCTTTTCTCTATGTATGAGGTCAATTTTTTTTTATTGGAGTTAAAATTAACGTAGATATATGACCGAACCTAACCAACCCTACCTAACCTAACCTAACCTATATTTATAGGTAAGGTTAGGTTAGGTAGCCAAAAAAAGCTAAGTTAGGTTAGGTTAGGTAGGTTAGGTAGACGAAAAAACATTAATTCATGAAAACTTGGCTTATTAGGCAAATCGGGCCTTGAATAGTAGGCCGAGAAGTGCGTTCTGGCTATTAGGTACGACATATATATATATATATATATATATATATATATATATATATATATATATATGATACTTGCCCATTCACTTGAAGCCTCCCCCCTCCCCGGGCAACCCTCTCCCCCTCCTATCAAGGACGGGGGTAAAATAAGGTCATTGCCAGACTAACAAACTTTTACCAGAGTGGACACGCCCACAGTGCGTCCGACCCCCTCTCAGTCCGACCCTCTCAGTCCGACCCCCTCTCAGTCCGACCCTCTCAGTCCGACCCCCTCTCAGCGGTCCTCCGACCACCCCCTCTCAACGATCGTCCAATTCCTCTCAACGGTCCCTCTCAGCCCTCCCCTCAGCGACCCTTACTGCCTCAGTCCTGCAGCCCCACAAGTCTTGCATGAGGACCTCAGTAATGTGGAGAGAGCGGCCATGAAAGGAAATTATGAGGAGAAAGCGCTGCTCCAGTATGATAATATTGCACAGCTAAGGGATATGAGACAGACTAAGAGTTGCAACACGGGGAAAAAGCCCTATATTGGCACACTGGGATGTGTAACCCGGTTCTCGGAGTTGACGTTTGTCCTGGACTATGTTTTCAGCATTAACTAATCGCTAATGGGTTAGTAAGTTAGTGTTGTTTCCTTAATAACCCTGCAGAGGTTGATATAGGTCACAAGCTCAAGATCAAGGCCGTCTCCTTATCTTGAGGTTACCTTGAGGTGCTTCCGGGGCTTAGTGTCCCCGAGGCCCGGTCGTCGACCAGGCCTCCTGGTCTCTACGAGGGTAGTTGGGTACTGGATACATGTAGGTTTATAACGACCTTGCTACCTTCATTCTGGTGCCCAGGGTTCGTGCCTATGTAAGGTCAGTGGGGGAACTGAGTGAACTGGCAATATGAACAAATTAGCCTGGCTAGTCTTGTCTCCCTATCACCCTCGGCTGCCACCTTCCCCCACCTAGCCCCCATCACACCCAGCTGATACACCCACTACAAGCAGCTAATCTGCCCATGACCCAGGTGTGCGGGCACCACTCTAGAGGACAATGAAAAGTTGAACTCTCTCACTAAAGTTAAAATGGCAGGGGTCCCAGCCGGCCGGCCGGACGCCCCCACACACACAGCCACAGGCATCAAAAACTATCACTGGAAGAGTTTTATGTCGAATTTGCAATAAAAACCGCTGCCATAAGCAATTCTAATGAAGGTATTCGCTCACATACCATCGATAAGGCAAAATGCGGGGGTTTCCACCTCCCTCCAAAAAGATAGCAACGAGCAGCGGTCATCAACAACTGCGGGCTCACCATAGCCCGTGCTACTTGGAACTTTGTGTTCCAGGTAGCGAATCTTAAGCAATAACAACAGGTCATCAACAGTCAAGGGGAACACTCCTGTTAACTTACCCTAGTCTGCTAACTCACACAAGCAACCAAAGTGACGTCTGCTAGAATATTGTCACATATCCCAAACGCTTCCGGTCCCAGTAAAGGAGCAAAACACTCTGAGAATCTTCTGAGAAAGGTGACTGATGCTCCAGAAACTATTCAAACATGGCATAATAACTTCTTATTTGGACTAAACCTAACGTGTCCTTAATCGTGGCCTAAGCCTGGACAAGCTGAAATAGTTCGACACATTACCGGAATGCACTCGGACGTGGCGTTGAACGAGTTCATAAACTCTCTCCCATGCTGTTGTAGTGTGGTGGTACAGTGTGGTATATATATATATATATATATATATATATATATATATATATATATATATATATATATATATATATATATATATATATATATATATATATATATGTCTTGAGTCTCAAGTGTGTAAGTTACAACCCCGCTCCTGTGCCAGGTAAGTCCACTACGGGCTCACCATAGCCCGTGCTACTTGGACCTTTGTGTTCCCAGTAGCTGAATCTTAAACACTGACAACATCTGAAGCGTGTGGAGAAGCGGGTTGGTAGTGACCAATGGGGACAGTTGTTGTTGCAGGTGGACCCGCGTCTGGCTCCAGCGACGAGGTCCTCAACTACTACCTTCCTGTCATCATGGCCGAGATGTCTGCCCCTGTTTCTACCAGAGGTGAGTCTTCTTCTTGCAGGCGACGAGTCTCAATAACGTGGCTGAAGTATGTTGACCAATCCACACACTAGAAGGTGAAGGGACGACGACGTTTCGATCCGTCCTGGACCATTCTCACACTCGATTTTAGAATGGTTCGGGATGGACCGAAAGGTCGTCGTCCCTTCATTTTCTAGTGTGTGGATTGGTCAACATATGTGAATCTTCTTCATCTTCTTGTGGTGGTGGGTAGCTCTATAGGCTAGCTGCATAGGCTTAAACCAAAGGCCTATAAGGGGTCTATATAGGGGTGACTATCAAAATGAGGTGTACAATAAAATGCGCGCCTTAAATTCCTCTTTGTGTTCTTGGACAAAAAGAGGTATAAATAATCACCAAAAGGCAAAATATCAGAACTGAAATTTTCTATGTCTTTTTTTCCGGTTTGTGAAGTCATACATTGTTTCGTGACAGTCAGGTTTGTGTAAATGCCCTGACTTGATGTACATGAAGGAAATGTAGTTCAATTTGTTGTTTTTAATACCTGACTTCAGGTAGTTCTTAATTAGTTTTAGAGTAGAAAATCGTCCCCTACTTACTGCAGTTGGATTCCACCAGCCACAGGTACATTTGCAGAGAAATATATACATATAGAAGCACTGAGAAGGGATGTATGACACATTTTGCTTAAACATATACAGCTCAAAACTACATTCACTTTCAGTATCAGCAGCAGTTTGATTCAGTTTCACATACTTTGTGAACAAGATCATTTCTTTCCCCAATGCTGAATTTCAGATCCTTAGGAAAGCAAGATATCAGGTGTTAAGCAGACTGTTGCAATTCCTCATTGTTCAATTGCAAAAGATTTGAGACGAATACCTATTTCGTGTTGAATTCTGAGTGAGCATCCGTCCGTTTACCCAAGACGCTGCACACAGCTCATCAATGGAAGGAAAACATCACACTTACACAATGGTTCACCAGCTCAGCCTGAGTGCTCAGTTCCCTGTGATGCTGCGTCATTAAACAGTCCTTTCACACTGCACATGCTCTTTCTGGTTGTCTCTTCCTTGTAGGTTGATGTACCAGTCTTGTGGGTTGATGTACTAGTCGTGTGGGTTGATGTACCAGTCTTGTGGGTTGATGTACCAGTCTTGTGGGTTGATGTACCAGTCTTGTGGGTTGATGTACTAGTCGTGTGGGTTGATGTACTAGTCGTGTGGGTTGATGTACCAGTCTTGTGGGTTGATGTACCAGTCTTGTGGGTTGATGTACCAGTCTTGTGGGTTGATGTACCAGTCTTGTGGGTTGATGTACCAGTCTTGTGGGTTGATGTACAAGTCTTGTGGGTTGATGTACAAGTCTTGTGGGTTGATGTACCAGTCTTGTGGGTTGATGTACCAGTCTTGTGGGTTGATGTACCAGTCTTGTGGGTTGATGTACAAGTCTTGTGGGTTGATGTACCAGTCTTGTGGGTTGATGTACCAGTCTTGTGGGTTGATGTACCAGTCTTGTGGGTTGATGTACCAGTCTTGTGGGTTGATGTACCAGTCTTGTGGGTTGATGTACCAGTTGTGCTTGCGGGGGTTGAACTTCGGCTCTTTAGTCCCACCTCTCGACGGTCAATCATCTGGTGTACAGGTTCCTGAGCTTATTGAGCCCTATCATATCTGAAGTTGAAACTGTGTATGGAGTCAGCCTCCACCACATCACTTCTAATGCATTCCATTTACTAACTACTCTGACACTGATAAAAAAAATTTCTAATGTCTCTGTGGCTCATTTGAGCACGAAGCTTACACCTCTGTTCCCTTGTTCATGTTCCGCCTGTGCTAAATAGCTTGTCTTTGTCTTTGTCTTTGTTCACCCTGTCAAATCCTCACAGAATTTTGTTGGTGGTGATCATGTCTCCCCTTACTCTTTTGTCTTCCAGAGATGTGAGGTTTAGCTCCCGTAGCCTTTCCTTGTAACTCATACCTCTGAGTTCTGGGACTAGTCTGGTGAGTTACCTCTGAATCTTGTCTAACTTTGTTTTGTGTTTAACTAGGTATGAACTCTAGGCTGGAGCTGCATATTATAGGATTGGTCTGACATAAGTGGTATACAAGGTTGTGAATAATTCCTTACACAAGTTTCTAAAGCCAGTTCTTATGTTGGCCAATCTAACATATGCCGCTGATGATATCCGTTTGATGTGGGTCTCTGGGGACATCTACGGTGTGATATCAACGCCCTAGATCTTTCTCTCCATTTAACTCTTGCAGGATTTCACCTCTCAGATGGTACCTTGTGTTGTGTGTGGGGAGGGGAGTTGAATTTGTATGTGTTCGTATTAAGCATGGATGTTGAAGGCCTGAGTGGGTTCAGCAAGGGGGAGACAGTGGGGGAGACAGTGGGGGAGACAGAGGGGGAGACAGAGGGGGAGACAGAGAGGGAGACAGTGGGGGAGACAGAGGGGGAGACAGTGGGGGAGACAGAGGGGGAGACAGAGCGGGAGGCAGAGGAGGAAGGGGGGGCGATTAGATTGTCACCAAGTCTGACGTACTTGACGAAAATTCCTTGCCCAGGTGACCTTCAAACCCTGAACAACAAAAAATTTGAGTACCACATTTTACCGGAGATAAAAACTGTTGTAAACTGCCGCATTTTAGTCCAGTACTCTACAGTAAACACTTTATTACTCTACAGTAAACACATTTTACTACTCTACAGTAAACACACTTTAAGACAAGACAGAGAGAATTGTTTTAAGTGTTTATCTCGCCTGCTTTTGCGTAGGGGTTTCTGAGCTCTCTTTTGAATGTTAATGTTTAGGTCTGGGTAAGTGGTCACACCTGTCTGTTATCTCACCCACACGCTTGGTGCTTGCTTCATCTCACACCACACTAGGAGAATCATTAAAGTCATAAATACTACTACTAGTAATAGTAATATTACTACTTCTACTACTACTCCTACTACTACTTCTACTACTACTACTACTACTACTACTACTACTACTACTACTACTACTACTACTACTACTACTACTACTACTACTTCTAATACTACTACTACTACTACTACTACTACTTCTACTATTACTACTACTACTATTACTACTTCTACTACTACGAGTACTATTACTACTACTACTACTATTATTACACATCTACTACTATTTCTAAACTTCTACACATCTACTACTACTGCTAATAACAATGATAACAATTAGAAGCAATCCATAAGATCAGTCTACTGGGATCACCCACGCCCGGGTTGGTAGGGCAATGTTTTCTCAGTTTTGTGACGTGAGTTCGATCCTCCGATGATGCATACGAAAAAGTAATAATAATATTGTTGATAATAATGAAAAAATCCACTAGGGGTGTGAGGTGGGAAGCGAACCTACAATCTCAACATTGCCATTGCAACCTGTTCTCACACAAAACAGCACATATATGATTTATTGCTTATAATCACTATTTCGCATATAAATAAGTATATATGTAACATATTCCAAGCTATATTTTTTTTTCAAGGCACTAACTTTTCCTCTCAGTTTTATTAAACAATAGAGATTTTATACAAAATTTGACAATATCCTGAGTTACTTTACAATTTATTTAAATATTTTAGTTTTGTTTTATTATTTTTATAAAACTGTGATATCAATATAGGTATTGGTTCAGTACTAATTGTAATATCTTAACATACTAAGAAGGTTAGGTTAGGGTGTGGTTTTCTATTCAGCATTTCAAGGTAAACTCAAATATTCACAATAAATTAGTATGTCACATATGCTCTTATTCATAAGCAAGATATTGACTATAAGCAAGTGCAAGAACAGGTTGGCCAGTCGCATACTCTACCACTGGACCACTCGTGGCTTATAAATGGCTTATGGTGGGGTCAAATTTTACGTGGGACATATTTACGTATGGTGGACTATACCTAAACACTTGAACTGGCTTCAGTATGAGCCGCCAGACATCCTGTGATTTCAGGAGAAATCGGGTTGAATGACTTTGACAAGTTTCTATGGTCCAGTGGTAGAGTACGGGACTGGCAATGCCTTAGTCGTAGGTTCGTAGTGGATTTTCCCACTGATATATATATATGTTAAAAATAATAATAGCCTCCTAAGGGCATCAGATATATAGTGTTATCGTAAGACTGAACAAATGGTCAATACAAGGGAAGTCAGAGGCTTAGGACCTGCGCAAAAATATCCCTTCAAAGAAGAAAATAAAGACAAAATAAATCTAAAAAGTGATTCCCATTTACAAGCGACGTATTAAGCGTGGGGACAGGCTTGGTATACGACTCCCAAACTCACACAATGGGGGGTAATCATGGAGCAATCAATCTCCTCTAATTTGGGTTGCCTACTGATTTACAGTTTCTAGGTAAACTTTAAGACTGAAACTTAGTGTGAAGTAAACTTAGTGTGAGGTAAACTTAAACATAAAACTTAAAGCTTATCACCCAGGCTCTCCACATTAGAAGATATGATTCCTGTTATCGAGGACCGGAAGGCAGTAGTTAAGGTTATCAACTTCCCCACTAGGCTAACCTTGCCCAGAATGTAACCCCACCACAGCTGCCTAACTCCCCATGGACCTATTGTCGAAAAATTGTCGGGATTGATTTATGAGGAGAACTGCCCAGGACTTGTACTGTACTAAATGAAAAAAATACTGTATACAAAATTAATACAATTAAAGTTCCTAGCTAAGATTGTGAATTCTAGCTCCTCTTGTCCTATTGACAGACTGTGGGCTGTAAGAGGCAGGTGGGGTCCTGATGGAGATGTTGATCGAAGATCAACAATCCACCTGCAGACAATTCAATACATCAGCTTGTATTGTTAATACAACGATAAGATTAAATAACTCAGTTTAGTAACTGAACACTGGTTCTGTTTAAATCAAAGATCTAAACAATATACACAGTCCAGTCTAGCTCTATAATTACAACAGCTAATATTCACATACTAATAAACACAACAATTTGTATTATAGAGGTATGATATATGTAAATATGCAATCAAAGGACCTTACATGTGGTCCAAGTGCACTGGAATCTAGGTATAAGAATCATATTCAACATGATAAACTTATATGGTAAATTAAAGATGATAAAGTAATTGTTAATTTAATATTATCAATTATATATATAGATATATTCAATTTACATGAAAAGATTCAGTCAAGCATTGCTTGACTCTCAATGACTGAAGGTCTACTTAGCATTCATTTCAATGAATGAGTATCCAGATAGCTTGAAAAGATTCAGTGGCTGAAAGATTAATCAAAACTTACTGAAATCTGGGGTGTTTCCCCGCGCTGTAACGACAAACAAATTTATTGGACACATTAAGATTACACAAGCATGCAACTGGCCAATCAACACACTACAATAACACTCAATATACTTATGTTTTATACAATCTGAGTGCCGGTGCCGTCTGACAAGTTGTCAGACTGGATAACCTCTTTTGTAGAGCTTAGGCACTTTATTTTACGTCACAGCTTTGCTGTTTAATATTCTTTTAGCTTTGCTAGTTGATTATGTCCTTATCTGCGTTTGCAGTATGATATGATTAGGTGTGGTGTAGTGGTGGAGGCGGCGTCTGTTATGAGCCACTAATTCACTCGTATTTATATAAAGTACTAGGAATTTTTCCTTATAGATATAGTCCAGGTACTCCCCCAGTTCTAGAGAGTAATCACTGGTGATAATGATAAGTTAGTGTGGTGTCCTTTACTGAAAAAGTTCGCAAGGGACCGTCAGGTGTTTGCACTGTTTGTAAACAAAATGATCTCCCCCAGGGCGCTGCTTAGGTCACTTGATCTCTCGAGCTGGCTCCTCCCTTCTCTTTGGGGAGGGTAGTCTTCAATGAATATTTATTGATTATTATTACTGTCTAGACATATTATTGAGATAAGATGTGATGATAATATAATTAGATATAAGATTTAAAGATGACTGAGTAGTACTCGATAGTACTATTGATTCTTACTGAGGATTTGATTTAATCCTCACCGGAAATCGATTGATGTTCCAATAGTTATTAATTAAGATATTCTTCTCGAAGCTTCTAGATCCTTGAGAAATCATGCACAAAGTCACGTAGGCACATTTGGGCCCAAAGGGCATACGGGATCATGGTACCATTGTCATGTAGGATCCAGTTGATGTAGGATATAATTAATCTGATGAGACTGATATGAGTCTGATATGATATAAAAATAATAAATTTCTTAGATAATAATGTTGATAAAGTGGGTAAAATTTCCCATACCTATTATAGTGCTTGGTGAACAGGGGCAACCGTGTGAAAGGTGCCCAACCGTCTGTCTTGCCCGGGGACTGAACCCTCGTCCCTTGATTGTGAGCCGTAACGCAGACCACTGGGCTACAGAACCCATCAATTGGTTTGTGTGTATATTAAGTGCCCAGAAAACCAGACAATCCTTCAAACACGATAGTACTTATAAGCGACCATAGTTAAATGTTAAAAAAATTGAACTGATGAACATGAAAAAATATCGACTTTTAGTTCGTAGAACTTTTAGAACACAGAACATAAATACAATTTCAACTATCTATATTAAATATCGACGGTCGGGGATTGAACGCCGACCTGCATGAAGCGAGACCGTCGATCTACCGTTCACCCCAATAAGCTTTTATTTATGCAGTGTTATTAGTTTCTTTGCTCAGAAAGCCTGTTTAGGAAGTTTTATTATCAAAGGGAGGAAAAAACTATCAGAGGAAAGGGCCAAGCCATTACGACTATATAGCACTTGGAAGGGGTCAGGATAAGGATTTGGGATGGGACGGCGGAAAGGAATGGTGCCCAACCACTTGGACGGTCGGGGATTGAACGCCGACCTGCATGAAGCCAGACCGTCGCTCTACCGTCCAGCCCAAGTAGGGAGGAAAGGGAGGTTTCGTTAATAGGTTTAAAACGTTGCGAGGAGGTGAAATTCTAATGAGTATTTTGTACCTACCGTTGTTACTAAGAGTTGTGGACCCTCAGACCCCTCCATCATCCGGGTGAGCTGTCGGCACGGCTTCCAGGAGGATCAAATAGGGGGTTGTCGACCCATCTTCAACCCCACGCCCTATTTCCCCAGCATCACCAGACCTAATAGGTAAAGCTTGACTTTTTTTTGGCCAATTATCTAGCTTATTTTCACTGTGTGTTGAGGAGATTCGTTTTGATTAACCAGGAGCTTATTAATCTACATAACTCTACGTAATCTGTCTCCTTTACTATTTTGTCATATATCTCTCTTTTTGTATATAACTAAGGCCAGGGTTCTTTGGTAATGTTATTGATATTTATATTACAACTACAAGCTAATAAAACCTGAAAGCTTGATCCTAAAAGCTCATTTATTTAATGAGTTTATTATTTGTTTCCATTACGAATGAACTTTACATATGTTTTAATGAGCTCAATTGAACTTGCGTTCGAGAGACTCATTTATTTGATGAGTTTCGTATTTATTTCCATTGCAAAGTAAATTTATGTATGTTATTGTGTGTGTATGACAGACATACGAGCGTGGCCAGTATCCTGCCGATGATACGCACGCCACCGCGGATCCACCGACCAGAGCCCCAGACTCAACGGGATATTATCCGTCAGTTCAACATCTCCCGAAGACCTTCGTGGTTCGGAAGAAGCTTGACCGACTCGAAGGACCCTCCCACCGCTACCGCTAGCGATGCTCCTCCCTCTGCCAGATCGGGGAGACTGTTGGTTCCAGTGCCTGTATCTCCCACCACCGACACCACCACCACCACAACAACCACCACAACCACCACTACCACGCCGCCCACAACTACGCCTGACTGTGACGACTAAAATGGCTGCTTTATTTTTTTCCCCTGAAAAAGGAGATGACCTAACCAGTATTTGACGCCGGGTTGCGATCCGGAATTGGTGCGTGAAAATGGCAGTGTTGTATGTTTAATCCCTTCAGGTGTAAGTAAAGTCTTCGGCCGTGATGAGTGACAGATCAAAGCCCTGACCACGATTTATTGTGTATGATTTTATTTTTGGAAAATAGAATACTAAGAATGTTCAGCCCGTCTAGATAAACAACGTGCCAAGTTCTAAATTCCTTGTATGGCTATTTGTCAGTTTCTTAACTCAGTACCATTGCTCAGTTAGAAGTAATTAATTGACTCCTAACGACGCAACTGTGGTATTATCAAGTCATACACAGGACGAAAACAAGTTCATCTTTCAAATTGTCAAACCGTTTATATATATTTCGTTAGGTTGGGATGTATTAGCTTAGATTAGGCTGTGTTAGGATAAGTTAGGTTAGTTAGGTTTGGGTCAGGTTAGATCAGTTATAAAATCCTTTGACGAACAGTTTTGTGTTTGAAGTGACCTGTATACACACAGACGCATGATGCATTGTATTCATACCATGAATACATTGTATTCATACTATAAGTGGATGTTTATATAGCTGCCAGTGTTGTTGTCCGTTAGTACCTGACTGTAACACACGTTACGGATGCTCCCCCCCCCTACCAGTCGTTGAATACTGTTTGTAAACAAGTTTTAGGGGGTAGCTTATCTTCCTGGGGCCAGATTCACGAAGCAGTTACGCAAGTTCTTACGAACGTATACATCTTTCGTCAATCTTTGGCGGCTTTGGTTACATTTATTAAACAGTTTACACGCATGAAAACTTCCCAATCAACTGTTGTTATTGTTATAAACAGCCTCCTGGTGCTTCCGAGCTCATTAACTGTTGAACAATTGTAAACAAAGCCGCCAAATAGTGAGAAAAGATGGACAGGTTCGTAAGTACTTGAGTAACTGCTTCGTGAATCTGGCCCCTGTTCGTCACTGTGCTCACTCCAACACACAGACCCTCACAAGTTATCATCCCTCTGCTTTCCTTAATATTGGGCTCAAAACTGTCATCACATTTTCTTTTTTTTATTTCATTCCAACATTTATCAAATTCAAATCAAATTCAAATGTTTATTCAGGTAAAGTACATACATACATACAAGGTGAGATACAATCATGTTGTATGAAATGATTCATACGAAAAACTATTTTTGTTATCAAATCATTTTTTCTTTTTCTCCATTATTCTCTTACCCCAGCATGACATGGAAGATCTGACAGAATCCGAATGAGAACTTAAACTTTAAAGCCTCATTAATGCAGCTTATTTTTAAAGTTTTTCTGTTGGTGTTCGATTTATTTATTCCATAACAAGTGAGTTTAACAGAAGCTATTTCTTCTGTTGTATAGAGAAAGTTTAGTTAAGACATCATGAATAAGGGGATCCAATACTATAACATAATTAAAAAATGAGTTTGAATAACTATAAAACATGATAAACAGAAAACATACAAAAATATATCAGATTATAATTAACAGCTTTTGGACCAATAAATAATGTAAGGTTATGCTTTCAGATATAAGTAATATCGCTCAGGTTACAATATATTCTGTCTCCTACTGATAATTTTAAGACGGGCTCACCATAGCCCGTGCTCCTTGCAACCTTTGGCTACAAGTAGCTGAATCTAAAACAACATAAAATATGATCATTTTATCTTACAATATATATTATTACAGATGGTTTCAAAAGCAACTGCAAGGATATATGGGTGCATGAGGAGTGTGGTGAAAGTAGATAGTTCACAGCTCGGTAAACATACAAATTAAGGGAGTTTACCCTTACCTTGAGGTTACCTTGAGGTGCTTCCGGGGCTTAGCGTCCCCGCGGCCCGGTCGTCGACCTGGCCTCCTCGTTGCTGGACCCCTAGTCCTAAAATATGTTTAGGCCTAAAATTACACTTGCTGATAGGTAATTAAGCATCAGTGGAGGCCTTAATCACCCTTTAAAAACTTGTTAGGCCTTAAGCCCAACACCAAACCAGATGAAGTGCTAGCAACCTATCCTCTCGATTAGCACGTGGCATTTTGACGTGCTAACGGCCAAAATATGATGTTCTATAAATCATAGCAGCTTGCAAAATTGACAGCTGTTACGTTTTCTCATCGAGGGACCTTTCGGTAGGTTAGGTTCGAGCTATTTAGCTCGTCATTTTTGTAACGTTGTGACAACTCTAGAAGACTATGTTACGATTATTGAATTACATAATTATTACATCAATAATTTTGTAATCTATTCGTTAGTTAAGATGATGTTGGTACTGTTACAATGCTGTTTAAGCACCAATATTACCTTTTCTTTTTAATATCAAAATAACAACGGAATTGTTATATAAATGATTAATTCTCATTTTGAATTTATGTTTGTGCTTTTATCTACCCCATTTATTTATATTTATTTTTTTATACGTTAATAACGAAGTTTTTTTAAGTCGTCTTTCTCCACAGTAGTCAGAGTTACCAATGGTGTGGTTGTTGGTGGTGTGACCAATGGTGTGGTTGTTGGTGGTGTGACCAATGGTGGGGTTGTTGGTGGTGTGACCAATGGTGTGGTTGTTGGTGGTGTGACCAATGGTGTGGTTGTTGGTGGTGTGACCAATGGTGTGGTTGTTGGTGGTGTGACCAATGGTGGGGTTATCACTCAAACTACCAATGGTGTGGCTGGCATTTGGGTTACCAATGGTGTGACTGACATTCAGGTATACAATGGTGTGGCTGATATTTAGATTTACAATGGTGTGGCTGACATTCGGGTTACCAATGGTGTGGCTGTCATTCGGGTTACCAATGGTGTGGCTGTCATTCGGGTTACCAATAGTGTGGCTGTCATTCGGTTTACAATGGTGTGGCTGTCATTCGGGTTACCAATGGTGTGGCTGTCATTCAGGTTACCAATGGTGTGGCTGTCATTCGGGTTACCAATGGTGTGACTGTCATTCGGGTTACCAATGGTGTGGCTGTCATTCGGGTTACCAATAGTGTGGCTGTCATTCGGGTTTACAATGGTGTGGCTGTCATTCGGGTTACCAATGGTGTGGCTGTCATTCGGGTTACCAATGGTGTGGCTGGCATTCGGGTTACCAATAGTGTAGCTGTCAATTTTTTGACTAGCATGTTATCTCATGTTTTGTATTTTCGACTTGATTTCCTGAACGCAGGTGTGAAGGAAGGAAGCAAGAGGAAAGAAAGCATGGAGAGAGAGATTGAAGGAAGGATAGAAGAGGGGAAAGGAAGGGTGGTGGGAAAGGGAAGGAGAAGGGTAAAGAGTGGGCAAGAGAAACGGAGACAATAGAAGGGAAAGGAGAAGAAAAAACTCGCCCATGACATTCTCTACATTTCTAATTAATATTATTTGTCTCATTATATAAAAAAAATACATTTTCGTACATCATTCGATGTTGCGAAAAAAAATAATTAATTAATTTAAACTTAAGACTCTCATTTGTCATCAGACTAGTTACTTTTAAACTACCAAATGTGGTATTTGGTTCTGTATATTTTTTAGACAAATTGTATTTAATGTATTTGATTGTCAACATTAAATGTTAATACTAGATATGTTCCCTCATTCTGTTCACATGAACACAGGAATTGTTGATGCAACTGCATTGTTGCTGACAAAAAAACCTTTGATATTTGTACTATTGAACAAGTTGCAAAAGTACCAAGTTACCATATCAAATGTGCAATAAAATATTTTATAATTGACAAAAAAAGTTATATATTCTCCTTTTGTCTCCCACAATGAATTAGTTTCCTCTAATCGTATTTAAATGTGTGGATTATATTCTATCCATGTGGACCAGTGCACAGCCGTCTCTGGCATTTGAATACAGGGTAATTGAGATTTGTGGAACAGAATACCAGAAATAATAGACCCAGGTATCGCTGGATTGTTTTAAGCGTAGGCTAGACAAATAGAGGAAGTAGTTTGGGTTGGGGAATAGACAAGAGGTTGCCTCACATATGCCAAACGTCTTCACCAGCTTCATTTAATCTTATGTTATTACGATCTGAATCAAGTGTGTTAGATAAAGATAGAGAGATGGGATTCTAAACACACACACGCACACACACACACACACACACACACACACACACACACACACACACACACACACACACACACACACACACACACACACACACACACACACACGCACACGCACACACACACACACACACACACACACACACACACACACACACACACACACACACACACACACACACACACACACACACACACACACACACACATACACACACACACATACACACGAGGCCTATGGGGCCTTGCGGCTCAGTGGACAGCGCTCTGGGTTCGTAGTCCTAAGGGCCCAGGTTTGATCCCACAGCAGAGACAGAAACAAAGGCAGAGTTCTTTCACCCTGGTGTCCTGTTCATCTAACAGTAAATAGGTACCTGGGCATTAGACAGCTGCTACGGGCTGCTTCCTGGGGATGTGTGTGTGTGTGTGTGTGTGTGTGTGTGTGTGTGTGTGTGTGTGTGTGTGTGTGTGTGCGCGTGTGTTAGAGAGAAATATATGTAATAGACATAATAGAAGAAAGATAAATTGGTTAGATAGGCGGGGTCCAAGAGCTAATAGTTCGATTCTACAGATACAAATATTAAAAACACACACCTCACACAGACCGTTCAGCATCTAGATAGATATAATCTACACAGGGAAAAGTATAAAATAACAATAAAGTTGAGTGACACGCTGATAAACTTGTCCCTAAGGTGTGGTCACACACACTTATATTCGCATATCATCTACCACGTACGTGTCCAGTCACTGACAATGCTAACCAGCATATATACATTTTCTACAGTCCTCACAGGGCAGGGAGGACTGAAGAAAACTCACACCCCAGAAGTGACTTGAACCCATAGGGATGGGGCTCTGTCTAGGACACAGTGGCAGACTGGCCGAGCGTCAACTCATCGTTGTGGAAAGGTGAATCAGGAGGGATGAATATGATAACAACGTCCAAGATATTACCGAGGAATTAACAGGGGGGCACAAATAGGCAATGTTAAAAAAAATGAGAAGCTGTTGGGCATTGTTGAAGGTGGAGGTGAGCCTGAGAAACGTCAAGGAAAGGTTCTTCAGCACATGTGTCGTAAATAAATGTAAGGGAGCTGGTCGGCCGAGCGGACAGCACGCTGGATTTGTGATCCTGTGGTCCCGGGTTCAATCCCGGGCGCCGGCGAGAAACAATGGGCAGAGTTTCTTTCACCCTATGTCCCTGTTACCTAGCAGTAAATAGGTACCTGGGTGTTAGTCAGCTGTCACGGGCTGCTTCCTGGGGGTGGAGGCCTGGTCGAGGACCGGGCCGCGGGGACACTAAAGCCCCAAAATCATCTCAAGATAACCTCAAGATAAGGGTCATAACCCTGGAAACACAAACCAAAACTGTCTCTATTTTCCGCTTGTTACAACTTGTAATAAAGTTGTTACATCTTGGCTTAACGTGTTTTTGACGTATTAGAACGTTGTTACAACTTACTATATTGGTTGTTATAACTGGTTAGGTGTTAAAAACTTGTTCGAACGTTGTACCAACGTCGTAGTTTCGGTGTGTGTTTGGCGGGAATGCACTGTGATCTAATTACACGCTGAACCTTACACAAGCCAGCCAGTTCTGTTACCTGGTTGATACCTGGTTGATGGGGTTCTGGGAGTTCTCCTACTCCCCAAGCCCGGCCCGAGGCCAGGCTTGACTTGTGAGAGTTTGGTCCACCAGGCTGTTGCTTGGAGCGGCCCGCAGGCCCACATACCCACCACAGCCCGGTTGGTCCGGCACTCCTTGGAGGAGTTATTACACAAGGCCATTCCAGTCCCACGGAATATTGCTCCTTTTAATTCTTGAATTCCGTAAGGTTTCAACTCGTGTTCCGGCCAGTTCGGAAAAACTTAAAAAGATTCGAACAGGTGTGTGGTTACGTTCTAAGTGAGACATCTTAGCATTCCGATCAAGTTCCCAGAGCAAGGTTGATCATGTGGGGGTGGGTGGGGGGGGGACCTGTAGACCCCCAGCTGAGAGGCCGGTCACTAAATAAAAATTAATGATATTTTGTTGCAATAATTTTATTCTTGCGAGCGGCAATTGCAAGCACCATTTTTTGTGCAGAAAACAATTACGAAAACACATGGAGAAATATGTTGTTGTTGTTGACAAATGTTAAAAGCATGATCTCACAGGCATGTGAAACGAATGAGTGTCATGAATATGTCAAGAATGTCATGACTTTGTCAAGAGTGTCCTGAATATGTCAAGAATGTCATGAATAGGTCAAGAATGCCATGGGTGTCGAACCAGACACAAAACAGCAGTTCACATGTGTTACACAAGTGAGAAGTTGCCATCTGTGGCAAGTGTGTCATGGCGACAGTATTAATTATCTGAGGTTTTTCTCATGACTGATGTATTACGGCAGGTGGAGTAGGCTTAGTGTAACGTCATGGTAAGTACATCATGGTAGTGGTTAGGTGAGACAGTCATGGTAGAGGCCATTGATGTTAGCGTGCTAGTAAGTGCTAGTATCCTGGGTATCCCTGTGTTATAAAACATGTGACTTGTTATAGTCTCTATAATTAGCAGTCAGGTGTGTGTTTCAGGTTCTACTCCTCCTCCTCTTCTTCCTCTCCTTCTTCTTCTCCTTCTTCTTCTGCATCTTCCTCTCCTTCTTGAGGTGCTTCTTCTCCTTGTGCGCCTTCATTCCCTTCATTCACTCTCACTACATTATGAAGGTAGTCATCTGTAAGTTTAGGAGGATTTAGAATGTTAGATAAATCAGTGGTACAAATTAGAGCTAATTAAACTGGAATTAGATCTAGGAGTTAAGGGTTAAGAGGGAGGATGAAACACTGTTTAAACGATGTTGGCGTCGCTAAGTTACTTTACGTCAAGGAAATACAGCAACGATATATATATTTTAGAGGTTTTCCAGTTTCATATTTGGCATTAGGTGTGTGTTCTTGATGTTGAGACAGACTGATTCTTGATGCTGAAGCTTAGTAAGCATCACAGCTTACTAATCATCAGATATCAAGAACATCATCACCATCAACAGCTGTATTTTAAGTATAAGTAACTATACGAACCTTTGTGTATACAGCAGCGACACATGTTTCTGCCAGAGTTACTGCTGCCGGAGTGTCCACCGTTGCCAGAGTGTCCACCGTTGCCAGAGTGTCCACCGTTGCCAGAGTGTCCACCGTTGCCGGAGTGACCACCGTTGCCAAAGTTGTCGTTGTCACCAAAGTGCCTAGGGTTGTAGTTGTTGGAATCGGTGCTCCGACACGCGTGCTGGATCTCCCGTTCCTGTGAGCCACACTTCATTGCCTGACATCTTCCTCCGGCTCGCTTGCACTCCTTAGAGTTCTTGCACTCTGTGTGGACACAACAGGTTTTTCATTGACATAGTGTATGTGTTTCGTACTGTGACATATACATACACATACACATATACACGCACTCCTATGTCACATACAAGTGATCATTTATGGTGAGTAATTAACGCATACAGTGGAAACCAATTCACTTTTCTTATGTCCTTGTGCTTGGTTGTTGCCATGTCCGTTGCCGCTGCCATGTCCGTGATCGTTGTCGTGTCCGTGGCCGCTGCCATGTCCGTGTCCGGTCCCGCTGCCATGCCCGTGTCCGTCATCGTTGTCGTGTCCACTGCCGCTTCCGTGTCCGGATCCGGGTCCATATCTCTCTGCCACAGCAGGATCATCTAATAATGGACAAAATTGGAGAGCAATGGCGTTAATATCGCAAGAAGTCCTCCATATGTAAGTTTTTCTAAGCATTATTTGCAGAAATATTCACTAGTACAGTTTAGAATTCACACCAGATCTATCTATATGAGTCAAGTTAATATGTCTAGTTAAGGATGACTGAGGCGGTCATCAGTTATATATGAGAAAATCGATAGACATCACTTGCTTGAGGTAGGTTAGGTTAGGCTAGGTTAGTTTTTGTTAGGTTAAGTTAAGTTAGGTTAGGGTAGAATAATGTCACAGTCTCTGTGCTCTATATTGTGTCTATGGAACAATGGTACAGCCTCCGTGACTCAATTTTCGGGCTTTGGAACAAAGGCACAGTCTTCGTGTACAATGTTGTGTCTATGGAACAAATTCCCAGTCTCCGTGTTATATATTGTCTATGGAACAATGCCACAGCCTCCATGCCCTGTGTTGTGTCTATGGAACAACGCCACAGCCTCTGTGTGTGCCATAGAAACACAGTCACTGGTCTCTGGTCATATGTGTATGGCATTTCAAACTTCGTGTCTTGTGTCGAGTGTGTGGCACAGTGCCTCAACCCTCGTGGCAGCTGCTGTCTGTGGGGCAGTGACATAGTCTCTCGTCGGTCCTTTCCCCCTTCTCTTTCTTCCTCTGTGTCTCACACCCCATCTCCTGTTCCATTATCTGTAAGAAAGATAAAACTATTATTATTATTGTTATTATTATTATTTTGCGTATATTGTGAGTATATTTACTATTCGTGCCTGCAGGATTGAGCTGTTAGCTCTTGGGCCCCGCCTTTCTAACCGTCGGTTGTCTAATGTCCCGATTCCCGAGTTATTTTCCTCCACCGTATCTATTACATATATTTTTCTCTTTTTCACTCACACACACATCCCCAGGAAGCAGCCCGTGGCAGCTGTTTAACTCCCAGGTACCTATTTACTGCTAGGTAACAGGAGCACCAGGGTGAAAGAAACTCTGCCCATTGTTTCTCGCCGGCGCCGGGAATCGAACCCGGGATAACAGGATCACGCATCCAGCGTACTGTCCAGTCAGTCACCGGCCCCCTGGCGTGTGTGTGTGTGGGGGGGGGGATCAAGGAATCGCGCGCGCGCACGAGGGATATGTAGTATCCCTCGTGCAGATATATGTATCTAGATACCCACTTAAGGTTAGATAAGTATAGAGGCATCATTCTCAATCGACTTGAGAATGGTCCAGGACGGGCCGAAACGTCGTCGTCCCTTCACCTTATAGTGTGTGGTCTGGTCAACATTCTTCAGCCACATTATTGTGACTCATCGCCTGCATGTTATGTCAAATTAAACAAAAAATTACTTAAAACTAAAATTTTGCAAAGAAACTTAAACATATTTTAACACGAAAAATTGGAGCTGTGAGATACCCTCGAACCCGGGTCCAAAAATCATCTCACAAGTACCCAACAAAGACAAAACTGTAAAATTTCAACTTGACATGTATGCATTGTGCTGTCTGGGTGATGATAACTGCTTGATGGAGTTCTGGGAGTTCTTCTACTCCCCAAGCCCGGCCTGGGGCCAGGCTCGACTTGTGAGAGTTTGGTCCACCAGGCTGTTGATTGGAGTGGCCCCGCAGGCCCACATACCCACCACAGCCCGGTTGATCCGGAACGTCGGGTGCGGGTGGGTGTATCATGATGGCTTGTAGTGAGCAGCTGCACACAGCTGTGTCGTGATGAGCTAACGAGCCTCTATCTGTTCACATCTGTAGCGGGATTGGCAACGATCCGAGACACCGATCATTATAATCCACCTGTATGATTGTCTATTTGATTTATATCAGCAAATATCTCTTTTTACTTTTTAATTCAGTCAGAATTTAAAACATGGCTGGGAAACGCACCCACCAAGGAAAGTGAGCCTCACAGCACTTGAAAAGAACGTCGAAGGGAGACTTGATCCCGACGTAAAAGATAATGAAAAGATACAGGAGGGATTCAGATGTCATCCACAGAGGCAGAGCAGATATGCAGACGATGAGTCACAATAACGTGGCTGAAGTATGTTGACCAGACCACACACTAGAAAGTGAAGGGACGATGACGTTTCGGTCCGTCCTGGACCATTCTCAAGTCAATTGTAATTCTCACAATCGACTTGAGAATGGTCCAGGACGGACCGAAACGTCGTTGTCCCTTCACTTTCTAGTGTGTGGTCTGGACAGCAGAGCAGATATGCCAGAGAAAGAGATAGCTTGAAGAATTGCTCCAAATAGGTTTTGTTAGGGGTTTCACTTTCACGCAGGTCGGCGTTCAATTCCCGAACGTCCAAGTGGTTGGCCACTACAAAATTCCTAAGAGATCTGTCCTATTTATTCTATTCAAGGCAGGTATACCCGTCTCCTGTATGTGGGTGGGTGTATCATAAGACACGGGGGACAGCTTAAGACATCGGGACAACATAAGACACGGGGGGACAGCATAGGACACGGGGGGACAACATAAAAACATAGGGGGAGAAAACCCACAAGGCATCACGACAAGACAAGCTCTCGAACTCACCTCACCGGAAGCTCCATTCTCGCTCGGCGCCTTTTCTGGCACGGGTTCGTCCGGGTTGGTGACCCCAACACCGTCCGGGTTGGTGACCCCAACACTGCCCTGGCCGGTCACCGTGGTCACCAGGAACACACAGAGGACCATCAACACATACAGGGACTTCATGGTGATGATGTCTAGCTACTGGGGAAGATATGGTCGATGAGGATGTTGCTTCACCCAACGCGCTGTCTGTGTGCTTTCCTGACTTCGCTGGAGTCGCCTTCAGGTGTCCGCCCGCCAGCGATGGAGTGTGGCTGAGGACTGGTGGCTCCAGCACCAGATACACCTGACTTATATCTAAAGTCAGCCGCAGTTAAACGCACAACCTGCTGCAACACACACACACACACACACACACCTGCTGCCAATTGAACCCCAATGTAATTGAAACAGTGTACATTGTATTTTTATATTTTATTTGAGGGGTCGCGTTTCGCGCATGTACCAGGATATAAGAACTATAGCAGTGACTGAACACACTTCAGAGTCCCTCGTCTCTGAGTCCCTCGTCTTCAGAGTGCTGAAGCTGTACTTAAAACGCAAAAGAAAAACATGAAAGGCACTCAGAGGAGGAGGAGGAAGATTTCCTTAAAGACACTGAAGATGTCCAGTAGTTTCTCTTCCAACGCTTGTCCTCAAATACACCACGAAATCACCTTAATGTGATCTCATTGTGTATTTCAGTGATGTATTCACAAATACATCATTGTATCAATGGTGTATTTAGGTTATGGCGTTGTGGTCTATGGCGCTATAGCTTGGGAGTAAAAAGTGCACGGGGTTCGATTCCCCCTCTCGGCTCCTACTGATGTTCTAACTGATACATCACGTTAATGTGTTTTTATTGTGTATTATGATTATCATTAATATTATTATTATTATTATTATTATTTTTTTATATTTATTATTTTATCTGTGTTCTTCTCACGTTCTTATATCAACTAATATTACCTCCCCACAGTCAAGTCGTGTTCTGTTTTGCAGGTCATCTGTAGTAGCAGATCTCAGGTGCATTATCTCTAAAATCAAAGTAATGGTTAATAAAGGTATGTTCTACTCTCTGATCATTGATTTTTGTTCTCAAAGATCCTCTCAAGGTGGATATTGGACCAGGATACAGGTTCACTGACGGGAGCTCTGACTCGTATTTTCATTCATGGACGCTTACACTTTATTTATTATACAGTTCACTGCTTCAAAGACTGACAACAAAAGGCCGTCGGGTTCACAGCATATAAGTCAAAGACTGACAACAAAAGGCCGTCGGGTTCACATCATATAAGTCAAAGACTGACAACAAAAGGCCGTCGGGTTCACATCATATAAGTCAAAGACTGACAACAAAAGGCCGTCGGGTTCACAGCATATAAGTCAAACACTAACGTTAAAAAATACATTAGTTAGTATTTGACTTACAGCACACTTGGTCGTGTTCGAAGCTGTAATTCGAACACGTGCTTCGTTCACTTTCAGCCTGTAATTTAAACATTCTTTAAAAATTCGTAACCCAGTCAACTTACTTAGGCCTAGCCTAGCCTAACCTAAATCAACGTAACCAAAACACCCTATAATACCTGATCTAGGCCTAACCTAATATATCCTAACCTTACCTAACCTAACCTAACCTAACCTAACCTAACCTAACCTAACCTAACCTAACCTAACCTAACCTAACCTAACCTAATATATCCTAACCTTACCTAACCTAACCTAACCTAACCTAATATATCCTAACCTTACCTAACCTAAATCAACGTAACCAAAACATCTTACCTAACCTTACCTAGGCCTAACCATATATAAACCAACAGTATTCAATAAAATTGTATTTGAGAGGGCAAAACTTTGGTATTATTCTGTATGACTATTCTGTATGACTTTGACTGTTATTCTGTATGACAGTCATCCTGTCAGTTGATTGTCAATTGTAATAAATAAATATTGATTTGTTAAACTCAATATGTCAGTGTCTGACACAGTTTGGGTTGGAGAACGGGTTGCCCACACCACCTTGAGTTAAGGTTGGACTGGTAACTGCCAGTTGGACTGGCAACTTTGAAGACGACCTAGTTAGTGACTCGAAGATTGTTAATTATTTCGTCAAAATCGCCACTTACAAATCAACTTACATGTGTCCACTTACACATCTCGTAAGTGGACACATAGATGCTTTGTTTATAGATCTCTATAGAGTTCTCTATATGGATTTTATTTTTGTAAGCAACTGCATTACAGTCTATATTGAAACTATGTGGCTAAGTTTGTTGAACTAAGGTTTTCCTCGGTTTTAACACCTTAGAAAAGTTTCAGCTATTTAATTAACCAGGCTGTGATTCATACGTCAGCCGCGTCCAACAGCCTGATTGACCAGTCCAGCAACCAGGAGGCCTGGTCGAGGACCGGGCCACGGGGACGTTGAGGCCCGAAATCATCGCAAGGTAACCGCACGGTATCTACGTCATCACTTTAACCAGCCTGGCCTTAGGACAGGTTGCCTAAACAACCAGATTTGGCGGCTGGATTAATGAGCATTTGGTCTTTGTTGAAGAGGACGTGCAACCTTTCCTTTCACCCAGTCACCATTTGGTCACCATTTGGTCCGGGAGACATCTCCCGTCACGCAGGGTGCAGTCGCACCTCCACAGATCTCCAGTATCAGCTCTTGATACTGGTAATGGCTCAAAAGGGCCACCACTTACGGGCTATTCATGCCCGTGCCACCTCTTGGGTGGCTTAATCTTCATCAATCAATCTTTTCACCCAATGGTGCCGGGCGTACCGTAGCAGTAAACAGGTAACTGGGAGTTAAATCAAAACCCGATATAAGCCTCTCTATTGTGGGAAAGTCAGTATGCTTGCGCTATGGGGAAGACCTCGGTGAACCTAACAGGATTCACGGTGTCCGAGGCGGTGGTGGTGAGAATAACGCTATGTTGTTCTCCCGTATCTGACGCCCCGGGGGAGGTAACTTGGTTATTGTTGCTTAAATATGAATGCTCTTCCCAGCTGTTGAAATGTTGTTGTTGTTTTAGATTCAGCTACTTGGAACAAACAGCTGCAAGTAGCACGGGCTATGGTGAGCCCGTAGTGGACTTGCCTGGCTGTTGTAAGGTCCTCGCTCTGTTGTGGCAACTGTTTATGGATGTCGAGAATGACATTATAATAATAAAAATAATAATAATAATAATAATAATAATAATAATAATAATAATAATAATAATAATAATAATAATTATTATTATTATTATTATTAATAAACTAATAATTACTATACTATTTTTTGTTAGTATTACTATTAAAATAATACAAATAATAATAACGCGCAATGATATCATATAAAAGTGATGTATCAATAAGAAAATCCGCACAGGCCGTGAGGTGGATTCGAACTCTCACACACTTGGTACGCCCAAGCTGAGCCACAGCCAGAGTGCTGGGAGGGGTAATGCGTGAAACCCTGATTGGGATTCAGTAGAAGCCTCGATCAACACCCCCTAAAGGCTTCAGTTGAATCCTAAGTTGCATCGCTTCTTGACCATGTCATGGTGTAGCCTCGAGTCGATCGGCCGAGCGGACAGCACGCTGGACTTGTGATCCTGTGGTCATGGGTTCGATCCCAGGCGCCGGCGAGAAACAATGGGCAGAGTTTCTTTCACCCTATGCCCCTGTTACCTAGCAGTAAATAGGTACCTGGGTGTTAGTCAGCTGTCACGGGCTGCTTCCTGGGGGTGGAGGCCTGGTCGAGGACCGGGCCGCGGGGACACTAAAGCCCCGAAATCATCTCAAGATAACCTCAAGAAGTGGCCTCGGGCGTGTGCGTGGGAGTACCAAGTATCAGGCTTCGAATCCTGCTCATAACTCCTACTGATTTTCTCAATAATACCAATGATGATAATTATCACTATGAAATTAATTTGTATGAAAATTATCACTGTGATAGTAAATATCTTTATTAAAATTACCATAAGACCGGGAAACTTGCAGACGACATTGTTCTGTTTGCCTGTTGGGTGCCGCAGCTTGCATCTTCAATCCTCTCTGCTGTCAATCACTTCCTCTTATGATGTATGCTTTTCTGATCTTCATTATCTTAATTATTAATCAACGGATAGTCCCCGTGGTGCAGGGGTAAAACACACGCAAACGCTTTGGCCTGGGTTCGTATCCTGGCCGGGGAAGATTGACTTGGCGCCAATCCTTAACTGTAGCCTCTGTTCGCCCAGCAGTCAATGGGTACCTGGGTTGTTAAACGATTTGGCGGGTCGTATTCCGGGGATAAATTAGGATTAAAGACCTGCTTGAAACGCTATGCGTGCTAGTGGCTTTACAACAATGTAAGAACTCTCGGATAAATAAATAAATAAATTACTTTGCATTTACTGTGATTGAATTCTAGTGGCCGTGTGTTCGTGTAATCCAGCATTTTGTTTACGTCGTTCATATCCCGAGCCAGAGGGATGGAAAGGTCAATGAGCCAGAGGCTCCGCACAATGGCCATTTGTTTTCTATCAGGTACGTCCAAAGCTATCTAAGCTATTTCCAGTTATTTCTGTTGATTCCATCTTATATAATAACATTTTGCAGGGACAATATCAAACGCTCTTTGGCAGCATAAGAAGATGCGGTACACCCATCCCTTTCACTCTTGGCTTGTTGCGATTACCAGTTATCAGTGGAACTAACTGTATGAGGCTCGACCGAAGCCGTTTGTCTACCCTGTAACCGTTCTACTTCTGCATTTAAAGAAATTCTCTCTACAAATTCTGTATGAATCTTCTCGATTACTTCTCTGTTTTATTTTTTTTTTACAGGAATTGCATGTCAAGGTTTTAAAGCTCTGTATTATAGAGTCTCCTTCCTGTATTCCCCCCCCCCTTTGTTGAATTGTTGGTACAGATTTTGATATTTGCCAGATATCCAGGAGCTGCTCTGCATCAAGTGTTGTATTGTAGGACACACACACACACACACACACACACACACACACACACACACACACACACACACACACACACACACCAATGCTGATGGGGTATCTAATAAAGCAGAAGAGATAAAAGAAAGAGTGAGTGAAGCAGATCCTGACATAGTTGCAATTGTGGAAACTAAAATTAATGACATGATCTCAGATGCAATCTTTCCTGAAGGGTACCAGGTGATACGAAAAGAGAGGACACAGAGACAGGGAGGGGGAGTAGCACTCCTAATAAAGCGGAAATGGAAGTTTGAAGACCTGGGAAATCGAGTTACCAATGAGTGCACA